AGGCACTTGGAAGGTAGCTGCGGGCCACCTAATACTGGCGCGTGCACTTGCATTTGGCTTGTTACTTTGAGACCCCTTTATTTGAAAATAAAGTATTTGGCGTCATGCGCCCCGCCTCCAGGACGGCGGCGTACATGCACAGAATGTGCTGGTGGCCAAATCCAAAATAGCATAGAAATGTGTTTTGTTTGATGAAACTAATAAAAACATTTTTAGTTTCCGTTCATTTTGTCCGAAACAAATTTTTAGTCTTTGCACATGTCTAGTAATATGTGTGCATGAGTGCGTGTGTGGTGGGGGGGAAGGGGGATTCTTTTTTATTTTTTACTGTTGGGGGGCTTCGGGGAAATATCAGAGGTCTAAACAGACCCCTGACATTTCCCTTTTGAAATAGAAAAAGAGATTGAGGACACAGAGTCCTCTGCCCATACATGTGGGGGAGAGCAGCGGGGATTCGAGGAGAAGATGGAGCCTGTGACGCTCCTCCTCTCCCTGTTAAGCCACGGCTGTGTTGGCCGCCTAGCGCCCCTGTTGCCAATGGCGCCCTGTGTTCGCTATGGCAACAGGGGCAAGGGGGCGCAGCCAGGCCGGCCCTGGCTGCACCCCCTCTCAGCTGCGCCTGAGGCTAGTGCCTCACTCGCTCCATGATAGCTACAGCCCTGGCCCACACACATTGCTACCACATCTATCACGTCATAGCTTTATCCACAATGTTCACACTAGCTTTTATTGCAGCACCCTAACAGTTTCTGTCCACAGTAACTTTTTCTGGTGGTCCCTCTACCCTGTCTGCACTTGTTTCTCTGGCAGCTTTCCTCCCTCTGTCTACACTACAACCTGATGGTCTCTGTGCCTGTTCATAACACTCTTTGGCATGATCCCTTTTCATGATACGGCCTGCTGCATTCAGGTTTTAATCCTCTTTGGTCTGTACAATATATTTATTCAAAGCAACAAAGTAGCAACATAGAGTTCTGGGCGCAGGGCAGTAATTTACTTTCTACATTTAGCCCTGCTTTGCACAAGCAGAGCTAAATGTAGAATAGGAGAAATTACTTGTTTCTTTACAAGTGTTCTTGGCGATGTCGCCGAGAACACTTGTAATCAGAGTGCTGGTCCGTCCTCCCCCCCTCCCTCCCCTGCACTTACCTCTCTCCATGCTGCATCCTCGCGGCTCCGTCTCCCGCCTCCGTCCTCGCCGCCGCCACCGCCTTCAAAATGGAGAGCTGTAAGCAGAGCGGCAGGGTTAAAAGTAATTTAAAAAATAAAGTAAAAAATAGTAAGAAAAATGTAAAAAAATAAGAAAATAATTATGAATAAAAAATAAGTTAAAAAATTATAAAAAAGTAAAAGATGACAAGATAAATAAAAATGTAAAACGTAAAAAAATTAAAAATAAATTAAAAAGTGATAAAAGGTTTTAAAAAAATTTTACCTACTCTTCTTGGACGTAATCAGCAGATGTTCTTTCTCTCCTTTTTTTTTTACCCATTCAGTAACTCCCCTGCCTTTTTCCCCAGTGTTCCTCAGACAGCAAGCATTCCGTCCTTCCTTTAAGTTCCCAATCATCAGATCCATTATTGGCTTCTGCTCTACTTCCTTGATATCCACCATGAGCTGCTATTCTACATCCTCTATGATCACATATTGCTTCTGCTAGTAAATAGACCTTGCTAAAGGTTGATAAAAGTGATCATTGATTTATGTGCTCTTCTATTGAATTAACCTTTTATAGACCTAGGATATGTTTTGCCCTCAATTTTTTTTTATTAGCCACCTCCAGTACTATTGATACACTCATAATGAATGTTGGTTTTCAGAATATGCCCTCAAATTTTGTTCTTCAGCAATAATAACTTCTACATATTTGTACATTTTTCCTTTGATGTTTCCTCTCACACTGTATTAATGCTTAAAACTGTTATTCATGTGGTATTTTAATCAGACACACAATCTACCACATGGCTATAAATATTTAAAATTTTTGTCTAGTCAGCTAAAAGAAGAGTGGATGTGATTATAGTTAGTGATGGGCTGAACACCCCCCTGTTTGGTTCGAATTCGAGCTTTCGAACATGGGGAAAGTTCGTATTCGAACTCGAACTCAATTCAAGTGTATGGGGTTAGAACATTGAAAATCAAATGTCCCCATTTTGAAGCCTTATATGCAATTTATTGGCCATAGAAGGTGTATGGGAATCTGGGTACTGCCCTGGGGGACAAGAATCAATGGAAAAAAAACTTTTAACAAATACTGTTTTCAACCACTTGAAGACCAGGGTGTTAAACCCCCTTCCTGTCCAGGCCATTTTTCAGTATTCAGCGCTACGGTACTTTGACAGACGTTTATTAAATTTTTTGGGGACAGATAGAACTTTCTTTTGGTGGTATTTAAAAACCACTGGGGTTTTTATTTTTTACTATATAACAAAAAAGTACCCTACATTTTGAAAAAAACCTGTTTCCCTATGAAATGTTATGAAACATTTATTATTACCCCATATTTTTGGTACAATATAAAATACGGGGTCATGTCGGGTAAAAAGGCACCGAGCTGTAAAATTGCACGCGCGCGAAATTGCAAAAAACGACCACACCCAAAATTTGCCATGATATTGCTATGATATTGTTGGCAATATAATTTGACAAATGTGTTAGTTCCTTGCTTACAATAATTCAGTGTAATTATTTTTTTCAACATAACGCTCTTTTTACATATCAATTTACTAAATAATGTATCAATGTATAATTGATGTAATGGATTTATTTGCCATTTGTCAATTCTACTCTGTCAAAAAAGGCCAAATTATATTCAGCCTTGCCCTTCTGCATTTCTATTAGTTAATGAGACTGTCTGTCACAAGGCCTGGTAGGAAGGCCTGAGCAGTAGAAGACAAATGCATGATATGGACATAATTTTTTTCTCTAAATTTGTTTGACACCTGATTGGTTTGATTTACTAAATGTAGGCTCTTTTAAAATACTTTTTAATCATATACATCTATTGACTGAGGTCAGCCAATAGAAAATAAATATATAATTAAAGCCAATGGAAAAAGAAGGGATAAAGAAAGTGAATGTAAACGTGAGGTAATGTCATTTTGTACTGCTAGATTGCTAGAAATATGTGACGAGAGAGATTGAGAGAGAGAGAGAGAGAGAGGGAGAGGGAGAGGGAGAGAGAGAAAGGACCTTTATGCACATGTACTGTTATGTAGGATAGCAACAAGAATGACACAAGTCGCTTTCAGCAATATTTAATATAGTGGTATTATATTTGCAAAAACAAATGAGCCTAACCCAAATATAGCGCTAGACTACTGTACTCCAAACATTTCCAGGACCTCAAATCAATTCGGACAAATGACAGTACATTTGATTTTGATTGTTGGGCACTGCTGATATGGTGAAAAGTGATTATATACATAAGATAATACTAATGATTGCATAACACAATTCCTTGCATGTTCAGAATTGGATAAAGCATACAAGAAATATTGTAACAATCAATATATCACAACATATTAGGTCAGCAATAGTTTTAACAGAAAATGCATATAATTGACTATGTCTAGGCAAAAGGTTTACAAAATAACAAAGAACAAAATGAGTGAAAATGTACATTGCAATATTGGTTAATTCTGTTTTGCAAAGCTTTAATTTGTGTGTCTAGAACCATGCCTACTTCTCTGATATATTAAGCATAATAATTTAATTGGATACAATAAATACATGTATAGAATTTGACATTTTACCATTCTATGTCTTCATTTCTTTATAAAACATTCAGAATGTATAAAATGTATTATATTTTTTACAATAAAATGTGAAATATAATTGATTGAGCTACAGGCTACCCCAATATTGGTTAATTTTATTTTGCAAAGCTTTAATTTGTGTTTCTAGAACAGAACACTGTCTACTTCTCTGATACAGTAAGCATAATAATTTCATGGGATACAATAAATACATGTATAGAGTTTTTCATTTTACCATTTTATATCTTCCTTTCTTTATAAAACATTCAGAATGTATAAAATTTATTTTTTATTTAAAAATGTGAAATATAATTGATGTACCATATACTGTAGATGCCTTATTATCCACTTACCTACCGCTGTATTATAAAAAAAAACCGGTGGAGAGGTGGACGTCTACACTGCACCCACTAGTCTCTAGCATGGCTTGGTAATATGTGATTGCTGTGGTGACAAATCACACCAATCACGTGTTACTGTTTACACTGACAATCCCTCTCTTCGTCTTGCTACATAGGAAGGAGAAAACTGGCAGTAAACTGTGAATGGGAGAATCAATGAATGACTCATCATCAGCAGCTGGTGACTCATTCATTGATTCTCAGCAGCTCATATCTTTTTAACCTTTTCACTGCCTCTCATCTCCTAAACTACTGACATTAACTCCTTGATCTCCATCCTGCGACTGTATGTTCACCCTCTGACCTCTGTGTATGGCCTGATGTGCTATATCTAGTTTACCGTTACCAAGCTCTGTGTTTTAACTCACTCAATACCACCATGTTTCTTCATTTTAAAAAAATTTGGCAAATAATATCAGCTTGGGGTGTTTATTTTCAAAAAGGCCTAATTTTGGAGGTGTTCTTACTCTCCTGGATTTTAGCTTTCTTACAGAAAGTAAGGGAAACAGCTTTTTTGCAAAATCTTTGGTAGTTTTTCCATTGAATAGTAAAAAATACAAATCCCAATGATTATTAAATATAACCAAAAAAAAGCTCTATCTGCCTAAAAAAATATATAAAACTATTTTGGGTACAGTGTTGTGTGACGGAATGAATGTTAGTAAAACTATCACAGGACTGAAAACGTAAAAAAATGGCCTAGTAAAGAAGGGATACATACAAGCTGGTACTCAAGTGGTTAATGTGGGAATTATTCAGGAAGCTTTGGTTTTAATGTTGTCAAAACTAGTTATTCAGAAACCAAAGGGTCTGTATTCAGTAAATGTTTTTGTTTTTTCAGCTCTGGATCCAGCTAAAGATCCCTGTTTAAAAATTAAATGCAATCGGCATAAAGTATGCGTTGCCCAGAATCAGGAAACTGCAGTGTGTGTCAGTCACAGAAGACTTACCCACAGGTAATGTGATGATTTAGATTTTGGTGTGATGAGTTAAATGTGTTATCTTGCAGTTATTTTGTAAAGTTCAAGTCAACATAATTACACTTGTTTTAAGAAGTTGAACTTATAATGGAAACATTTTGAATATTATTTTTTGCTACTAGATGAAAATGGTAGCTGGCTCCTGAGGGAGCATATTATGTGGTGAATATTGCAGTTCAGCTCCATTTTTCCTTTCAACATTTTTGCTGCCTGAGCCATCTTTGTGCTTTTTTGCACACATGGTAAAATCCCCATCTGTCAAAATGCCATTATGCGGCGGGTGTTCGTCGTGAGCGGACGGGATGACGGTCGGCGATTTTTTTTTTTGTTTTGCTCCTACTCATTCATTTTATTGATACTTGATAATTAATTGTGACAAACTACAATAATTTCCGTACAACCTTCACCCAAATTCTAACTATAAAAAACTTGACACATAAATATTATCTTATTATAATATCAAAAATAATTAATTCCGTGTGGCCATAATCCATTGACCCTACGTGATAGCACCAACATCATTTTTCAGTGATTCTAGTAAAAAAGGTGTTTTCATTTTATTAAATCACCATTGAGATAGTGCCTACCCTTAACCTCAATGGCTTTAACCTTGTGAAAAAGCAGTTTGAGATCCCTCAATAAACTCTCCTATTGAAGGATCGACGCAATTCTTTCTGCGTGACTATATCCCAAGCCCCTAGTGAAATAGACCTTATGGCCTAGTCAATTACTAGAATTATATCCTTGTGCAATAACCCCTACTCTTCAATGGATAATTAAACAGTGCAAAAAAAGGGAACAAAACGTGCTTTTAAAAATTTCTCCTATCTATGAGATGACCACCATGTGTAATACAAATGTAACATGATATATTAAAAATAATTTATCAACAAAAGATCCCAATCCCCTGACACACATTAACACATATTCGGGAGCCCCTAGGAGTGGCCCATTTTGGAAAGGTTTCAATCCATAATTAATGTCTAGAGATAGTTCCCAAAGCCCACCTTCTTACCCGCCTTGCCTCCAGATATTTTGGGCCCCACATCTTAGGGTGGACATACTCTCCCAGGAGTTTTAGAGTATTATCTGGAAACACCATAAAAATGCATCCCTCAACACACAACAACATAAGAAAAACCAATAAAAAGGGGAGAAAAAGAAAAAAAAAAGAAAGGAGAAGAGTTGAGAAAAAGAGAAAAGATAAGAGAAAAAAAAAGGAGAGGGAGAGGGTCTTCCCTAAGCATTAGTCTCACTCCAGCTTATAGTCATATCCAAGACCAGATCAGGCCACAGCCGTCACTCCCATATAACGAACATGGCGATTTGCTTATAGTCATATCCAAGACCAGATCAGGCCACAGCCGTCACTCCCATATAACGAATCCATGGCGATTTTTTAAAATTTAATTATTTTTATTTATTTCCTAAAAGCAGAGACCCTGTAGAATAAAATGGTGGTAGTTCCTAATTCCCAGATAGCAAGCAATTGAGCTGCAAGTTTGGAAATGACTTGCTAAACTATTGCTAGACTTGCCAAGCTTCACAATTTTGTTGCACAATTACAGCAAGTCTGCATTGCAAGTCTCCAAATCAACATGCTTTGCAAAAGTGCTGTACACTTGCAGAGATCTTGCTGAAGGTGCCCATACACTACTCAATTAATTAGATCAGGCCACAGCCGTCACTCCCATATAACGAATCCATGGCGATTTTTTAAAATTTAATTATTTTTATTTATTTCCTAAAAGCAGAGACCCTGTAGAATAAAATGGTGGTAGTTCCTAATTCAACTTGCCAGAAATGTGTGCAGCAAGTTAACAAGAATTACAATTTAACCCTGCCCCAAGTTTGTTGCAAGTTATCCTTGCTATCTGGGTTTTGAATGGTGCATGATATAAGTGCAACTGTATATTAAACCACAAATTGCAGTAAAAAATACACTTAAGTGAATTATTTTGCACAAAATACCCAATTTTTGGGAAAATAGAAAAGACAAGGTTGTGCCGAGTAAATAGACACTCAACATGCCAAGCTTAAAAATTGGGTGCGCCCCTGAAGCAGCAAAAAACTATGATAAACCAAATTGTCCATAGACGGTAAATGGCCTGGCCAGGAAGGGGGTGAAACACTATGGCCTTCAAGTGGTTAAAAACTTGTACAGATCATCAACTTAGAATTAACCTTGAATAATGGCCCTAGAATTGTTGTCCTCACGCTGACATAGGCAACAATACAGAACATGTGTGGCTTAATTGTCATTTTAGTATGTAGGCGCACTCGACCTGTCTTTGCATTAGTATGTGCATGTATGTGGGAAAGGGGGACTTTTTAAAAAATTGGGGGGTGTTTTTAATTTTTTTTTTTAACTTTTTTTTTCTTCATAGCTATCACATAAGGGGCTCACAAGGCTATGTAATAGCACTTTAGTGATGACAGGTGCTCTTTAAAGAGGCAATAGGAGTCTATTAGACCCCCTAATGTCACTTTTGCAGCCCAAGCACATTCTGTGCTAAATAAGCTTCTTCCCTGGCCCAGCCAGGGAATGACCGCTCAGAAATCATAAGTAATTAAATCCTCATCCCTTCCGGCTTCATTTAGTAAGGAGGGGATCAGCAAATGGATGTTCACTGGTCTATCCCCTCTACCCGATGACATCTGAGATGCTGGTCTCAGGCCCACAGAAAGGGCAGCGGAGCTCTGGAAGCAAGGCAGGGGGTATCAAGTGGGGCACACTCTTACCAGCCCCTGGAAGCTTTACACAGGTAAAAAGGCTTGCTTTTTTATTTTTTATTTGATACTTCCGAAATAAACAACTAAAGAGAGAAAATAAAAAAAGGGTACATAAGTGTAAATAGGAAAACAGTGAATAAATAAATCCCCCCCAAAATAATAGCTATGGGGAGATTAGGAATGAGTTTATTAAAGCTCATTAAGGTTAATAAGGGGTTAAATATGAACAATTTTTATGACATAAATATTTTTTTTACTTGTGAGGTTGTTGGAACTGATATTATGTGCAGGTAAGGGGACAGTCCTCTAATCTGCACATGAACCGTAGGTCACTGTTTGCACAATATTTAGCTAGCAGAGCAGCTAGGTGCAGACCATAAATGTCAGAATAAAAAGCAGCAGTTTAAAGGGAAACATTAATGCCACTGGGTGCACTTTAATTACATTTTTATATTTTCTGCATATGTTTTTAAATGTGTTGTTTGTTTTACAAGTAAACAATTACAAAATGACTTCAGAGCACTATGGGTTAGCTAAAGAGACAGCTCAGCAGAAGTAACTCCCTTTCAGACACAAATCTGTCTCTCAGTGAGACCTCAGAGTGGTCTGATAAGGGAAATAGTCATTGCATTCCAGTACTGTGTGTGACTTTTCAAGAGATGTCTAAAATAAAGAATTTGAATTGCACTTCCACCCAATCCATGTCAACTGGCAGTATGGATCAACTATCGCCCACTAATTTTCCCATTCGCATCTCACAATCAAAGTGTTAAACCTTGTTTTTCGGCCAAGAGATAATCCTTCATTTTTAACAGTCAGAAAGTAAAGTAAATGTATTAGTTTCTATTCGGCTTTGTGAAAATTTCAAATTGATCTATGTAAACCTTTAGGTTTTCACAACTAATAGTACGGGGACAGAGCAAAGAAAGGAGCTTAGAGCTCTACCTGCTGGCTGCATAAAGGATTACATAAAAGTTGTTTGCTTGCTGACAATCTCTGGAATAAGCAAATGCTATAAAAGCATTAACCACCTGCTGTCCAGCCGTTGTAATTAAATGGCCGGACAGCGGCTTCTTGAATGCGGTTGGGCGTTGTTAAACGTCCCATCCTGCCCTGCTCGTGCCCGTGCTAGGCGGCGCTCACGAGCGGGAAATCAGCCTGGAATGTAAACAGCCAGCGATGGCTGTTTACATACAAGCGTTCGGGCGTCTGTAGAGACGCCCGATCGCTTGTAATATGCGTGCGGGTGTGCGCCCCCCTCCTCCGTTGCAGCCGCTGCTGGCAATCCCGACCTCCGCTGTGCCCGGTGTGAGCCCAGGACCAGCACAGCAGCTCTGCGGCCGGAGATCAAACGGAGCTCAGTACACGAGCTCCGATTGATCTCCTCCTCCTCTTCGGAATGCAGGAAGTGATGTTTATTACATTACTTCCACATTCCTCTGTCACTCTCCGGTACAGAAACCGGAGAGAAGCTGGTGAAGCAGGTGTTTGCTTCATCAGCTTCTCTGGGGGTCCCTAGGTGACATTAGGGGTCTTAAAAACCCCTGATGTCTCCATAAAGGGGACCTGTCACTGCAAATTGGCTATCACAAAGGGGGATTGTTAGTCCCCTATGTGATAGCAATAAAGCTAAGTGAAAAAAAAAGGGTTAAAAGAATTAGTTAAAACAAATATTAAAAAGTTAAAAGTCACATATAAAGGTAATACAAAAAATAAAAACATGTTTTTAAGTCCCCCGCCCCCCACATACACATGCGTCGAGTGCGCCTACGTGCGGAAACGACGATTGCATCCATTGTGCCGCACATGTTACATATCGCCGCGAGCGTTGCAGTGAGAGCAATACTTCTAGGGCCATCAATCACTGATAACACTAAACTGATGAGCTATAAAAGCTTTCAAAGCGTCGCCTATGGCCAATTTTGGGTATGGTAGTTTTTGCGAGTTCACAGGCGCACGCAATTTTAAAGCTTGACTTGTTTGGTGTCTATTTACCCGACATGACCACGTCTTTTATATTTTGCCAAAAATTTGGGTAATAATAATTGTTTTATAACATAACGTTTGGAGAACAGTTTTTTTTCCGAAAGTTTCTGTACTTTTTTCATTATATAGTAAAAAATAAAACCCCAATAGTGATTAAATACCGCCAAAAGAAAGCTCTATCCGTCCCCAACAAAATGGTATAAAATTCATTTCAGTACAGCTTTGCATGACGGAATAAATGTCAGTCAAAGTACCGC